GGGTCCAAGAGGGGGGGGGGGTGCAAATCATGACCGGCGGCATGTGCGCGACCCAGCGGCGGGGCCAGGGACGTAATAAAATAAGAAGAGGCGCCGCGAAAACCGGGGGACATATCATGGCCCACGCCATGATATCCACCCCCCCCTAGTCATCACCCCCCTCTTTTCCGCCCCCGAATACATCTGGCGCCTGGTGGGAGGCCGCCCGGGACTGGGGCTCGGGGGGGCAGGCGGCGGGGGCGCCACCACCACCACGGGCTGGGGCGCGGGAATGGCACCCCCGGAGCCAGGAACAACGATGGGCGGTCCTGGCACTCGGACTGGTGGCTCACGAGCCCGGTGGTCCTGGAATCCGCTACGCCTGTTGTCGGCAACTTGCTGACGCTTCATCTCCTCTGCCTTCTTACACGATAGCACTAAGTGCTAGAGCTTGCAGCCAGGTTTCGACTATACTGTATCTAGTCCTTTGCGAGATTCAACAGCCTGAGCTTGCGGCCATTTTGCTTGTTTATTAAATCGTCGTTGCATGAGCTCAGCGCCGGCCACCATCCGTGAGGGGCTGCGATATGCGAAACCGTCGCCACGTTCGAGGGCTGCTGGGGGGGGCCAGCGGAATGGGCACTCGCCGCAGATTCAGATTAGACCTCGTCATCCGTGGGGGGCTGCGATCTTCGAAGCTGTCGCCACGTTCGAGGGCTGCTGGGGGGCCAGCGTAGTGGGTTACTCGCCGCAGATTCAGATTAGACCTCGTCATCCCTGGGGGGCTGCGGTCTGCGAAACGGTCGCCACTTTCGAGGGCTGCTGGTGGGTCCATCAAAGTGGGTAGTCGCCGCACATTCAGATTAGACTTCGCCATCCGTGGGGGGCTGCGGTGTGCGAGACTGTCGCCACGTTCGAGGGCTGCTGGTGGGTCCATCCTAGTGGGCACTCGCCGCACATTGAGATTAGACTTCGCCGTCCATGGGGGGGCCTGCGATCAGCGAAACAGTCGCCACGTTCGAGGGCTGCTGGGGGGGCCAGCATAGTGGATACTCGCCGCAGATTCAGATTAGACCTCACCATCCCGGGGGGGCTGCGATCTGCGAAACCGTCGCCATTTTCGAGGGCTGCTGGTGGGTACATCATAGTGGGTAGTCGCCGCACACTCAGATTCGAACCGCAGACCCCCAGGGATGGCGAAGTCTAATCTGAATGTGCGGCGAGTGCCCACCATGATGGACCCACCAGCAGCCCTCGAAACTGGCGACGGTTTCGCAGATCGCAGCCCCGGAGGGATGACGAGGTCTAATCTGAATTTGCGGCGCGTACCCACTACGTTGGCCCCCCAAGCAGCCCTCGAACGTGGCGACTGTTTCGCTGATCGCAGCGCCCCCCGGGGTGGCGAGGTCTAATCTGAATATGCGGCGAATGCCCACTATGCTGCCCCCCCCAGCAGCCCTCGAACGTGGCGACAGTTTCGCACACCGCAGCTCCCCAGGGATAGTGAGGTCTAATCTGAATCTGCGGCGCGTACCCACTACGCTGGCCCCCCCAGCAGCCCTCGAACGTGGCGACTGTTTCGCTGATCGCAGCCCCCCCGGGATGGTGAGGTCTAATCTGAATCTGCGGCGCGTACCCACTATGCTGCCCCCCCCCCAGCAGCCCTCGAACGTGGCGACGGTTTCGCAGATCGCAGCTCCCCAGGGATAGCGAGGTCTAATCTGAATCTGCGGCGCGTACCCACTACGCTGGCCCCCCCAGCAGCCCTCGAACGTGGCGACTGTTTCGCTGATCGCAGGCCCCCCCATGGACGGCGAAGTCTAATCTGAATGTGCGGCGAGTGCCCACTAGGATGGACCCACCAGCAGCCCTCGAACGTGGCGACAGTCTCGCACACCGCAGCCCCCCACGGATGGCGAAGTCTAATCTGAGTGTGCGGCGAGTACCCACTTTGATGGACCCACCAGCAGCCCTCCAACGTGGCGACAGTATTGCTGATCGCAGCCCCCCACGCATGGCGAAGTCTAATCTGAGTGTGCGGCGAGTACCCACTAGGATGGACCCACCAGCAGCCCTCGAACGTGGCGACCGTTTCGCAGATCGCAACCCCCCAGGGATGGCGAGGTCTAATCTGAATCTGCGGCGCGTACCCACTACGCTGGCCCTCCAAGCAGCCATCGAACGTGGCGACAGTCTCGCACACCGCAGCCCCCCACGCATGGCGAAGTCTAATCTGAATGTGCGGCGAGTGCCCACCATGATGGACCCACCAGCAGCCCTCGAAACTGGCGACGGTTTCGCAGATCGCAGCCCCGGAGGGATGACGAGGTCTAATCTGAATTTGCGGCGCGTACCCACTACGTTGGCCCCCCAAGCAGCCCTCGAACGTGGCGACTGTTTCGCTGATCGCAGCGCCCCCCGGGGTGGCGAGGTCTAATCTGAATATGCGGCGAATGCCCACTATGCTGCCCCCCCCAGCAGCCCTCGAACGTGGCGACAGTTTCGCACACCGCAGCTCCCCAGGGATAGTGAGGTCTAATCTGAATCTGCGGCGCGTACCCACTACGCTGGCCCCCCCAGCAGCCCTCGAACGTGGCGACTGTTTCGCTGATCGCAGGCCCCCCCATGGACGGCGAAGTCTAATCTGAATGTGCGGCGAGTGCCCACTAGGATGGACCCACCAGCAGCCCTCGAACGTGGCGACAGTCTCGCACACCGCAGCCCCCCACGGATGGCGAAGTCTAATCTGAGTGTGTGGCGAGTACCCACTTTGATGGACCCACCAGCAGCCCTCCAACGTGGCGACAGTATTGCTGATCGCAGCCCCCCACGCATGGCGAAGTCTAATCTGAGTGTGCGGCGAGTACCCACTAGGATGGACCCACCAGCAGCCCTCGAACGTGGCAACCGTTTCGCAGATCGCAACCCCCCAGGGATGGCGAGGTCTAATCTGAATCTGCGGCGCGTACCCACTACGCTGGCCCCCCCAGCAGCCCTCGAACGTGGCGACTGTTTCGCTGATCGCAGCCCCCCACACATGGCGAAGTCTAATCTGAATGTGCGGCGAGTGCCCACTAGGATGGACCCACCAGCAGCCCTCGAACGTGGCGACAGTCTCGCACACCGCAGCCCCCCACGGATGGCGAAGTCGAATCTGAATGTGCGGCGACTACCCACTTTGATGGACCCACCAGCAGCCCTCGAAAGTGGCGACCGTTTCGCAGATCGCAGGCCCCCACGCATGGCGAAGTCTAATCTGAGTGTGCGGCGAGTACCCACTAGGATGGACCCACCAGCAGCCCTCGAAAGTGGCGACTGTTTCGCAGATCGCAGCCCCCGAGGGATGACGAGGTCTAATCTGAATATGCGGCGAGTAACCCACTACGCTGGCCCCCCCAGCAGCCCTCGAACGTGGCGACAGTTTCGCAAATCGCAACCCCCCAGGGATGACGATGTCTAATCTGCATTTGCGGCGAGTGCCCACCGTGCTGGCCCCCCCAGCAGTCCTCGAACGTGGCGACAGTTTCGCAGATCGCAGGCCCCCCAGGGATGGCGAGGGCAAGCCAGGTAAAAGGCAGGAGCAAAGAGGAGAGGAGGCATGAAGAAAGAAGCGAAGAGAGGAGGGAAGAGAGGAGGAGGGGGGGCGGGAGAGGAGGTCGCGATCGCAGTGCTCTTTTCAAAACGAGTACCCAACGCAGGATGGTTAGGAAAAGAAACATGTGGAATTCCTTACCCGGTCCGTGGGCTCCTCAAGTCTGCAACGGCCAAACACGCTATCCAACTTCGAAAGCACGCGGCGCTCGGAGGGGCGGTACCCACTCCGAGCGTTGGCCAACGTATGAAAGCGCGCTGCGGGCAGCCTTTGTCATTCGGCCGCCGGCTATCGAACCGCGCGTGGGCGTGCTCTCGCCGTGCACCGCGTCTCTGCCCATCTGCGCACGGCAGCGCACTCCTGGCCGGACCGTGCTGGCCATAGTTGCAACGACACCGTAGCTTGCTTGTAACCTGCCGTGCCATTGAGGTGCACGGTGAGGAGCATTTGCTTGGCGAGTCGAGGCAGCGGCCCATGCGACATGCTACGCCTTGAAAGCGAACAGCGTCTCGCTCTGCTTCGTGGGAAGGCACGCTGGAAAAAACTCGGAACGTTGATGCCTGGGGACAACACTGGTACGGTCTTAACGTGTGGCGCCGAAGCGTGGTGGGCCAAACCCAGCGGCGCGAAACGCTGAGCAAACGTCCCTAACCTTAGCTCGTTGCCTCTGGGGAACAGGTCCCCCCCATTTTCAATGCATTGTACGGCCTCAGCGTTGCACGAACATGCCAAGAACCGTGCATCCCAGGGGCCCCGACACCCGTGCCAGCTTTGCCCGACATCCATCTTGCCCCCTCCTCCTCCTCCTCCTTTATTATTCCTCATTTTCCCCTCCTCATTCATCCCTACTCCCTTGTCCTCCCTACTTCTTCCTCCTCCTCCTCCTCCTCCATTTCCTCCTCCCCCCATCCATCCTCCTCCTCCTCCTCCTCCCATCCTCCACCTCCTCCTCCTCCTCCTCCTCCTCCTCCTCCTCCTCCTCCTCCTCCTCCTCCTCCTCCTCCTCCTCCTCCTCCTCCTCCTCCTCCTCCTCCTCCTCCTCTCCTCCTCCTCCTCCTCCTCCTCCTCCTCCCTCCTCCTCCTCCTCCTCCTCCTCCTCCTCCTCCCCTCCCTCCTCCTCCTCCTCCTCCTCCTCCTCCTCCTCCTCCCTCCTCCTCCTCCTCCTCCTCCTCCTCCTCCTCCTCCTCCTCCTCCTCCTCCTCCTCCTCCTCCTCCTCTCTCCTCCTCCTCCTCCTCCTCCTCCTCCCTCCTCCTCCTCCTCCTCTCCCTCCTCCTCCTCCTCCTCCTCCTCCTCCTCCTCCTCCTCCTCCTCCTCCTCCCTCCTCCTCCTCCTCCTCCTCCTCCTCCTCCTCCTCCTCCTCCTCCTCCTCCTCCTCCCGCATCCTCCCCCTCCACCCGAGGCGGTGACGCGGAAGACGGCGACGACCGCCTCTTGGCGCTGGGCGACATCACGTCCACCAGGGCGACCCTCCGGGCGAAGCCGGGCTGTCCCCGCCCGGAGCTGCACTCGACGGTGCAGGTGTTCCTGGCCTGCCCCGGGGCCGTCGGGGCGCGTCGGGGGGCCGAGGGTGGGAGCGCCCAGCACTCCAAAGGGAGGCCCGACGAGGGAAGAGAGGACGAGAAGGAACAGCAGCGGGGAGGAGAGGAGAAGCAGAAGGACGACCGGGACGACGGCGACGATGAAGAGTAGGAAGGAAAGAGGAAAGAGGGAGAGCAGCAGCAGCAGGGGAGGGAGCAGGAGCCAGAGGAGAAGGAGAAGGAACTGATGCAAAGGGGGATGATGATGAGGAGGAGGAGAAGGAGGAGGAGGAGGAGGAGGAGGAGGAGGAAACGGAGGAGGAGGAGGAGGAAGCGGAAGGGACACAAAATATGGATGTGGAAATGGACACGGAGATGAAGGCGGAGGCGGAAGAAGGAGTCGACCCGGAGTTTGGACTGGAAGCCGTACGCTGGCTGAAGAAAACCGCGCGAGATCCACGCAGGATCCGATTGTAACCCAACGCGACGCCCAACGCACGCTGAAGGCAGATTGAAGAGCAACCTCGGCCACCCCGCTCTAGCTAGGGCCTGCTGCCCATGCAAATAACACCACGGACTCTGCAGCGAGACTGGCACACAGCGAAAGAGAACAGGATCAACGCACGCTCGATGCGGGGTCACTAACGATGCTGGTGGGACAGGCTGGAAGGGCAGGCTTAAAAAACACTCTAACACGACGGGGCAATGGCATTCTCTCGGCAGTCGAAAACATCTCGGCACTAGCTGGGGCCGCAAGACTGAACTGTCTGCGCCACGGCTCGCACGCCATCGCGCGAAGGCAGGTTTCGCCGGCCGCGTAAAAGCGCCACGCCCGAGCACTCCTGCGCGGCGCCATCGGGCCCCCAGGCGCCCGCCCCACGAGCCCCCGCGCCGAGCCCACCAAGACATGGGCCCCAACGCGGCCGAAGATGGACCTCTCCTGCATATCCTCCCGGCGCCACCTGGCCTGCATCGATCGTCTACTTCAGCCCGCGCGAAGGCTGCCAGCCCCGCACGGGACGACGTTCTTGAAGGCGCACTTTTTCTCTGGGTCGCACATGCGGCTGCCCCCCCAGGTACGCCCGCAACGCTAGGGCGCGCAGCTGGACTCCACGGGGTCTGCCCAGCTGCCGCCTCCTTTGCGCGCCCCGCCCTCGCGCGCCTGCTTCGGCGGGCTGAGGCCCCACTGCCACGGACGCCGCCGCGGCCGGCGGCGAGCCATCGCGCCGGCGAGGGCCAGCGGAGGCGCGGAGCGCCGCTCCCCGGCAACAGAGTCGACCATGGCCCACCGCCCACGCGCGAGGCGCCAGCTGCCAGGCCTTCTCGCGCACCCGATGCTCGCGCTGCATTACCTCGTTCCCAGGCGGGCGCGCAGCCAAGTCGCCCTGGGCCCCCCCTGCCACGAGGCCCCAGACGCGCCACCCTAGCAGCCCTAGCACGCAGTCCAAGCACACCTGATCTCGAGGTAATACTTTGCCGGCACCTGGCTCTCCTCTAGCTTCCAGGACACCCCCCCGAAGTTCAGCCACATCCAGGTGATCAGGCACGCTCAATGGCTTGACTCCCCTGGCGCGCGTCGGCCCCGCCCTTCATCCTCCGCCGCCGCTCGATCCGAGCGCGCGCCGCTGGCCACGCGCACGCCAGAACAGCCACCTTCGCACGAAGCTCCGCCCTGGCCTCCGCGCCCAGTTCGAGCGCATCTCCGGCGAACGCCCTGACGTCGTCGCATCGCGTTGGCGAACTTCCCCGCGCTCGTGACTCCGCAGGATAACAACAGCTCCTGAACGCACGGCCTTCGGCCTGCTCATGTCTGAGCGGCGGGCCGGATCTGGGCCGCCCCTATGGGTCGCGCGGGGCCCCTCCGCCGATGGAGCCGTCGCAGCTGCTTCGTCAACGGGGGGGCGGGCGGGGGCCGGCGCGCCCCTGTCATGGAGGGCCACGCGGAGCCCTCCACCGCTGCAGCCTTCCCCGCGTCGGCATCCCCCGACCCGTCGGAGACTGGCGGATTTCGACGAACTGCCTGAATCGTCGCCCTCGCTCTTGTCGGCCGCCTTCGCCATCCAGGCCGAGATGGGGCGACAGCACATCTGGCAGACCACGTCATAATCCTTTGGGCCCGGCAAATCGTCGAAATTGGTCGAGCTCGGCGCCGACCCACCGTTGGCCCAGCCACAGCCAACGACATTGCGGAGCCTGGCCACCTCGGGCTCCTTCGCGCGCGCGACGAGGTAGCTGCCGGTCTCCCCTGTGCCCGCGCATTCGAAGGGTGGCCTTTTCTCCCCGTCGCCGATGTGGGCTATCGCCCCACGGCTCTCGCCAGCGCCGTCACGTCCGTGATCCGCCGTCGGCGCTCTTCGCGGGGGCGTCGCCGCCCCCGCCGTTGGTGCGCCTTCATCTGGTTTCCCATCGTCAACGGCGGCAGGTGGGGTCGCTGCCCCACCCAGCGCGCCCTCGTCGCCCTGGGGCGCCGTCGCCAGCCTGCCAGCGCAGGTGTCGAGGGCTGCGTAGGTCTCGGCTGCCACGCCCGCCGCTTCCTGCACCGAGAAATTCTTTCTCGGCGCCATCCAATTCGCCAGATCTGGGGTGGCCACCGACTCGCCCAACGCCACGCTGGACTTCCCTGACCGCAGCACATTTGCGAACTTCTACTGGAGCTTCGCCACGACTGCGCGGCATGCCCCCGCGCAGGTGCCCGCCCCTCCGGCGACCACCTGCCCAGATAGTCGAGCTCACTCTTCGAGACCCCCAATGCCGCCACGGCCAAGGGATCGTCGCCCGATCCGAGCGCTCGGTCCAGAACCCCGCGACCTCTTCGGAGAGGAGGAGCTCGATCTACCCCCCTGTGCACGCCGCTGGCCTCAGCATCCTCCGATGCGCCCCCTGGCCCGCGGCCGACGCCTCGGCGCGCCCGGCAGGCCTGCAGACTACAGATTTCCCCGCGCCGCCGCAACTCGGCAGGAAGTACTCCCTCCAAAGGTCGAAGCCCGTCTGGATCCACGCTGGGTCCAGCATGTGGCACTCTCGGGATACCACGAGCGGCAGCTCCACCATCTTGCGCCCTGCTCCGCTGGCCTTCGTTTGCCCCAGCGCGGCCGTCAGTCCTCCGCCCACGAATTCGAGACGCTGCGGCGGGACCCAGTTGTGGTCGCCACAACGCAGCACCGCCCACACCTTGACAAGTCGAAGCCACGTCACCCCGCACAGGTACGGCGCGACGCCGTCGCCCATAACCAGCTGCTCCTGGGCCCCAATGAACGCACTGGGGAAACGCGCTGCCCTCGTCGTCGTTCCCTCGCCCCCGCCCAGAAAGCATCTCCACGGTCGCGACGACTTGCTGCACCTCTGGCCCGGCGGAAACCCTGTCGCTAGCGCCAACACCCGCGACCCGCTCCGTCCAGACCCAGAGGCGCAAGGTCTAGTTGGGCACCGTCAGCCCGCACGGCACGGCCGCCCTGGTCTGCACGCAGTATATGAAGTGCACGATCGTCACGGGCCACGGGGCCCCGTGCGTGCCCAAAAACCACTTGCGCATCGTCTCCATGGCTCCCACGTACGACCTCACCGCGTCGATGCTGCGCGGCCCGCGATGCCGTCCTTCACCCGCCCCGGGCCCATGCAGGCCTGCGCCGTCTCGAGGGAAGGCGCCCCCATCCCGTCGAGCAGCGCGATCAGGCGAGGCTTCCACCGAGCCCACTGCACCTCCAGCGCACGCCGGCTCCACGCGGCCGCGCTGCACCTCCGCCCCGCCATCGAACGGGCCCCAAGCGGCCGCCGGGCCTCGGCATTGCCTCGGTCGTCCGTCAATCGTAATCACGCCGTGGCGTCCTCCAGCACGGCCCGCTCCGGAAACCATGGCACGCCCTGAAGGCGTTTCGGAGCGGGTTCTTCCGCAACGGCCCGATCTACGAGCTCCCTCCGCGGCCTCCGCAACCTGCACGAGGGCCCCGTCGAACTTGGCCTCCCCCGCCTGTAGCGCGAGGCGCGGGCCGAAGACGTCGTACTCGTGTAGCACCTTGCTGTCTCGCCGCCGCGCGGCGTCGAAGGCGCACGGCCCAAGGGCCAGCATCTGCGCCCAACCACTGTTCAAAACCGGACGAGCGCATGAGCCGAGAAGCCCACAGGCAACAGCCAGAGTAAGAGGGTACACGTTCGTGCTGGCATACGAGAACATAAAATTCGCCGACCCTGTCGGCGTGTGGAATGGGCTGTTCGTCGTGGTTGTTGCCTCCTTCGCTGCTCCCGCCCCGGTGCTGTTCGCCATGGCTGTTGTCCCCCATCGCTGCTCCCCTCCCCGTTGTCGTCGCCGTCGCCTTACGGCCGTCGCCGTCTCCCACCTCAAACCGTCGCCGTCTCCCACCTGAACTTGAACAACGTCGTAATTGAGTCGAAGGGAAGCCCCTTCCCTTCGATCCCTTCCCCGACGGGGGGTGACCGGGGGGGGGCGGGGCGGTGGGGGAAAAGGAGCCCGGGTCAGAATATCATCTCCCTCAGGGGGTCCCGGGACCAACGCGAGCCTCCAGACAAGCCAGGAGTGGCCCAAGAGCCCCTCAACATGGTCCAGGAGGGACCCGAATCGCCGAACGATAGGTTCAAGACGTCAAAGCTAGCCTCCACACGGCCCAAGAGGCCTCCAAGTCGGCCCAAGAGCCTCCAAGACGATTGCCAAAGAGCCCGACAAGGGACAAGTCATTGATTTTTCTTAGTTTTTGAAGATTTTGGCGTTCTCCCCTTTTCGGCTTCCCGACGCTAGGAAACAGCCCAAGAGGCCTCCACGAGAGCCCCAGAACTACCCAAGAGGGCCCCAAGACAGCCCAAGAGGCCGCGAAGATGGCCGAAGAGTCCACCAAGACGGCTCCAAGAAGGCGCCCCGACAGGGGACCCCTACAAGCATTTAGAGCCCTCGGCCCCGAGAGGCTCCCAAGAGGCCCCAAGTGGCCCCAAGACGCCCCAGAGAGGCCCCCAAGAGGCCCCGAGAGGCCCCCAGGAAGCCCCAAAAGGCTCCCAAGAGTACC